TTATTATCATGGTGCAACCTGGTGGTGTGCAGGCAGAGATGACACTGGAGAAGGAGCTGAGAGTTCTATATCTTGATTCAGAAGCAACAGGAAGTGGCCTCACTCACTGGGCATGCCTTGAGCACATATAAGACCTCAAAGCCCAACTCCACAGTGACACACTCCCTCTAACAAGGCCACACACCCCCAATAGTGCCTCTGCCTTTGGGGGCTGATTTCTTTCAACCAAAGTCAGGCATCAGACTCTGACCATGACAGACTTAGGTCTGTTGTATTGCTGCCTGGCCTCAGCTCAGAGGGTCCTGACTCTGAGGACTGCAAGGTCAAGGTTAAATGAGCTCAGGAGGAGTACCGAGGAAGGTCAGGGTGAGCTTTCCCAGGTCCTAGCGAGTGAGTCTAAATGTCGGAAGGTCTAATGCCAGAACTTGATGTCCGACGCCAAAACATGAGGATTAGACAGGAAGGTACGATGGTTTGAGGACTGCCAGCTACTTCACACCCCTCTGTTGTCAGCAGCTTCCCTCAGGCTGCCACAATCTTAACCTTAAAGAAACCCACACACCTCGGCTCGATGGAAGCGTCACTAAGGTGCTACTTGTGCAAGCAGGAAAATTGTAAATACCTAAACCCTCATGGTGTTAGCCAGTGTCCCACCACCATGATGAATGCCTGAGATCATCAACTTACACAGAGCCTGGGTTCGCTTCTCAGGGTTGGAGGTTCCAGCCCATGTATGTCTGCTTGGTCTCGTCACTGTTGGACCTGTGGTGAGGCGACGCTTTTGCAGTAGGGAGAGCCTGGCAAAGCAAACACTCTCACCTCTCAATGCAGACATTGGAAGAACAGAAGAGGCCCGGGTTCCACAGCTCCCTTCAAGGGGACTGTCAATGGCTGAAGACCTGACATTAGGCCCTACCCCTTGAGGTTTGCCCCACATCCGATACCATGTCCCATCCAGAGGAAGATTCAAACCCAAGCTCTGTAATGGTTACACAACACCTACCCATCTAAGGGAGCACCACACAGCAGAAAATAATAAGGTAGGCCTCTGCTGTTATCATCAAAGGCTCCTCAGCCCATGTTACTGGCTTAAAAACAAACCTCGGAATAACCAACACCACCAGTACCATTTGTATAAAAACCTCAGTACAAAGTAATTATGTATTCTTGTATGTTCTCTCCAGATGATGTGTCTATGTAAATTAAGCAACAATGCTCCTAGAATAGACCAGCGATAGAGCAGGAAGGGACGCCAAATGAGAAGCCAGTCATCTCGGAAATGTTGACCCTCCTACAATGTACTTCCTGTACAAAGTAAAATCACCACATAAAATATCCAATATGATGACAGTGTTTAATAATTAATGGTCAATATAATAAAATGTATAATCAAAATGATGTATTAAAGACATTTATTATAGTAACTTATATTTATATAATTTCTTTCCTTATAAAATTTAATATTTGTCTATGAAGTTTAGATTTATCTTTATGTATGTATACATGTATGATTCTGTGGCAGAGTATGTGCACTGCATATATAAAGGTGCTTGCAGAGGTCAGAAGAAGGTACAAGACGCCCTAGAGCTGAAGTTACAGATGGTCATTAACTGCCTGAAATGGTTTCTAGGAACCCAATCCAGGTCCTTTGCAAGAGCAGCGAGTGCCCTTAACCTCTGAGACGTCTCTCTAACGCCTATGTGTGAGAGTTAAAGCAGTCACATGGGACTACCCACAAATACGCAGCTTCCTGGGTCTTCTGGACAGATGTTTCAGTTTGCAAATGAAACCCAGGAACCTGTGTTTTGAAGTTAGATTTCATGCTGGTGGCTCAAGGCATGGCTTTGGGATGCTCCATGTCACTTTCCAGTGCAGGACACAAAGTATTCAAAAGTCTTGTTACAGTGTAATCCTCCTGGAATAGAGTCCTGGGGTGGGGGCATGGGTCTGTATCCAGTTGCTGCTGGTGGCTCTCGGAGTCTATAAAGTTCAACTTGGAGGAGAATTTCAAATGAACAGCAAGTCATCAGTGAGGAAATACTCAGAAAAGGAGAAACAGCCATGCCTTGGGGCAAATGATGGAGTTGGGCCAAGGAATACCCAGGGGGATTGGTCCAAAAGAAAGGGTAGCAAGAGTGTCTAGGGTGAGGGCAATACCAGACTCAAAACCTGGCACTTGGTCTACTAGCAACTGACTGTGGCTTTCTGGAGAGAATGACCCCAGCATTACAGCTGGAAAAAGAGGAGTGGCTTATGTAAGGTGGAGCCTGGAGGGTTAAAGCCAAAGTCCAGGCACAAGGGTCCAACAAGCAGTCTTGGTCTAGGGTCTACCCAAGTTAAGGCTTCCTGGAAGCAGAGTCCGCATAATCCCAAGAAAGGAAAAAGTTGTTTTGGTTTCTCTCTGAGGACTGAAGTTGAGTCCCAAACCAATCATAGGAAGACTAGGAGCTGCCGTGGGCAGCAGCAAACACTTGGCCATACTCACGGGCCCCAGCATCACTTCTCTCTGTGTGAAATGGTACTTTTTCCAGAACAGTAAAAGAAGAAAGTGTCTACTTAACAGGGTTCTGAACAACTCACACAACTGCAGAGGTCTCAAGAGAGGAGTGAGAACTATGGTCAGGGGTGAAGTGAGGTGAGGCTGGGGCAGAGTATCGTAGACCTCAGTGTTCTTAGACTCTCCCGAACATCATCTGACTCTCAAGAGTTAACCTGTTTCTCCAGAGGTTGTCTGACTCAGTGTCCTCTTGCTTCTCTGTTTGGCTTTACGGGGGTTGACACCACTCACTGTTGTCAACCAGACTAGAACAGCGTGACTTCGAAGTTACAGCTTCCATTAATGCACTGACTGCCCCCAGGCAGCTCCCTCAGTCTCCCAGCAGGCTGCTCATGTGAGTGACCTCTGGGGGTGCAGGGTCACAGAGACCCGCCCTGTTCTCTGCAGACCTTTATTGAGTGGCTTTACTGGTTAGCTCAAATGCAGGGGGCCAATAACTGACCAATGGAACAACTCTCCCCAAGTCTTGTTAAGTGATTCAATGAATTTATGAAGGTTACTTATAAAAAATATGGGTGTCTCCTAGGCATCTGCATTACTAAAAAGTCCCACATGCCCAAAGGGGTGACAACTCACAGAAGCTGCACCCCGAGAACTCCCTATCCAGTCTGCAGGCAGCTCTATGAAGAGCTCTTCCCAGCAGTTGCTTTCTGCTTGTATCACTGCAGGAAGGGGCCTCGAGAGTCTTAGAACAACTGAGTTTTCTGAGCCTTCTCAGTTTCCTCAGCTTCCTGAGGAGCAGGAGTCGCTCCGCACTCCAAGACGGAAGGAGTCCATCTAGAAGGAACTGGACCCAGCACCATGCTGCTCTTCCCTCTCAGTGACGTGACAGAAGCACCCTGGTCTGCACTGGCAGCTGTGCGGAGCGGGGGCATCACCACACAATCTGCTGTAATCACACCCGCTAGACACAGAAGCAGACGGTTACATTAATATTTGACCACCTAACTCTGATTACAGAATCAGAGAATTGCATCTACATGTGAATAGCCCCATGCAAGACTGTGGGCCTAGTTCTGTAGTAATAAATTACAGGCTATTACATTTGTCTCCTACAATTTGATTTCAAATATCTCTTCAATTAAAAACAAAACTGTTCATGCATCCAATCCCTAAGTCACACTATTTAATTATTTTAAATAAACTGCTTTTTCTGATTTGAATAGAAATATATGAAATTATGAAAAACAGTGAAGGAATAGGAAGCTCGTTGGGGCACCAATCATTTCTCGACCCAGAATTCTGGCAGTTTAAAGGAGAAACAAGGTAAAGTCTTTTCTCAAGTTTTCTTCACGAGGGAGTAATTTTAGATTTACACCGAAGTCTCGGGCACAATATCTCTCATTTCCTCTCACCTGACTTCTCCTGGTGGCAACATCTTATGTAACTATAAAACATTTGTCAAAACTAAGAAATTAACAGTGAACAACACTGTTAGCAAAACCACAGAACCTATTCAGATTTTGCCAGTATTTCCACAAACATCCCAGCCGAGGTGCACGGGGATGGATAATGTCAAACTACTGAGAAAACATTGTGTTTATATTGCTTGATATTTTTGAGCAGTAGAATACAGTATATTGTGTATGCAATCGCTCCATTGGTGATGGGGGAAGGTAGGGAGACTACTTGAAATTTTCTTTGCCCAAGGAAGTTTGACCTTTAGAGAATCAGGTGTGAGGCTATAGGGAGGGGATGGCTAAAATGTAGCCCCAGTTTCTTGCTTGACAGAGGTACAGGCTCCTTGGGATCCTAGCAGCTGGCCGGAAGAGGCCATTTGTTATTTCCCTTTTAAAGAGCAAAGGGCATAAGTCAGATCAAGCATCGCGTTATAGGCCACACAGCACATAGAGGAGATCCTGGCTGGCTGCTCTCCTCCCTTCTTCCTTCCTCCTCTATGGTTAGGCCTTGGCCTATGAGACGCATGCATGAACAGGTCAGGTCTTGTCTCAGCCTTTATAGAGCCTAGCAAGGAAGAGAGCCACCTCACCAGCAATTACACAATTATAGCTCTGGTCAGTGCTAAGAGATGAGGTCCCAGGGGTCCAGGAGACCAAATCTGGTAATAAGGAAGCCGAGTTCCAACAACCACAGATAGATGCTGTTCATCTGGGGCAAAAAGGGCAGTCTTGGAAGGGGATACAACCTGAGCAAGGCTGAGAGCAGAAAGAGTGTTGACATGGTCCTTTGCCCAGAGGCCCTTGGTTGAACAGATGAAGGAAGTTCTTGGTCATGGTGTAGTTAAGAGATATTTGTCCAAGAAACTATAAACCCAACCAATAATGGTTGCTGTAGAGCCCCAAAGTCCACCATGGCCCTGCTATCTCCAAGTCCCTCTTAAACACCCCTTGGATTCTCCCAAGAAGGCTACCTTCCCTTCCCTAGTCAATAGATGGTCTCCTAGTCAATAGATGGTCTCCTAGTCAA